ATCACCTAGTTCCAACCCCCCTGCCATGGGTAGAGACACCTCCCACTAGATCAGGTTGCTTAAAGCCCCGTCCAACCCAGCCTGTTCAGCCAGAATAATGCAAAGTCAAAGTATCTTGGGGGGGGGAAAAAAAAGTGTTTGTCCTTGCTTTCTCAACATGAAAATGACTCCCTAACTCCTTCAAAACGGACAATAATTAAGCTTGTCAGCATTTCAGTTTCTTTCTTGAAGCAACCAAGCCAAGCTCTGAGAATTCGAATGACTGAAGAGTACTGACACCGTACAGCAATATACTTGATCCATTCACAAAAGCAATCAAATCCGGCTTTAGTATAACTATACGTACGTCAGTGGAATAGCACAAGTGAAGAAAGGCGACTAGTTTCTTCACTGCTCCAGGAATCTCAAAAACTGCTGGAAAGGCTCAGCACTTTGCTGAACGAGGTGAACAAGAATAAACAGACCATTCCCCAGCACTGACATATCCCATTGCTCAAGCTCATTTACAATTTAGAAGTGGAATGACATTATTTTTGACAGCAGTAACATACTAGTACCCCAGATTTAGGGGTACTTTTGCCTGAAGAGGGATTTAAGGTTAGAATAACACTGTTCTGTTAATATTAAACACTTCCACTGCCTCATCTCCTGCTCTCCACTGTATTAACAAGAGGCCTGATGCAAAATCTATTAAAGTTAGTGGCCCTCTCCAAGTACTTGTCCACAATCACTCATCACAGCTACTGAAGTAGCATGGATGTTTTTGTCTAGGATTCATAAACCAGCTGAAGTTCTTGACCTCTCTCAGCGCATTTTTCCCAGAACGTGTTTGCAGAAGCTCTTTGCTCTCAAATCGTCCAGTTCAGCATTGCCACTCATACACTGGGAGGTCACTCAAGGCCCAGATGGAAGAACACTAATTATATCACAGGGAAGTCTAGCAATAAATCAGTTTTGAAAAGGGAGAGTGGCTCCGGGATAGGAGCAGCTCTTACATCTTTAGAGATCCCACAGCTCGATAGGGCTGGGACAGTGGGCAACCTGCCGAAACACAGCCCAGGGGGAGCTGTGATGCCACCAACCCTGTGGGCAAAGCCCCTGACCCTGCCCATGGGGTGGCCTGGGCTATTACTGCTCCCAAATCCTGCTTCTCGGCACAAGGATCAACCCCTCACTGGGCCAAGATAAGACATTTTTAAAGTGTCCTAAGGAAATACAACACACTTCAGGGTGGCCATCGAAATCAAGACCAGGACATCAATGCATTTCAGGGCAGCCCCCAAAACAGCCTGTGCATGGTTAGGAACTCACACACACACACTGCTTTAACACAGCAACCTCGGATTATTAGTCATAAAATCCAAAGGGGGAGCCTTTCCCTTTTAATTATCATTCTCTCCTCACTAACCCACTGGCAACAAGACATCAGCTGTGCTGAGCAGGTGCAGAGTCTTGCAAAGCTTTTCCACCATTCACCATTGCATTAATGGCATTCGGCAAGGTGCAGATACCCCCAGCTCTGAATAATTAACTTAGGGGCAGCAGCTGAAGGAATCAGGTGAGGAAGACAAGAAACCCAATTAGTAAAGCAGAATACATAGCAACCTGGCATATGAGCACCTTCACCTGTGAGCTGTGACCCAAGCCCTGCAAAGGCAGGTTTCTGGGCTTGGTCACTCAATTAAAATCAAGGAAAGCAAAACAAGCACTCAGTGATGCTTTTGGGGGTGGACTCAACAAAATAAGTAGAGCCACGATACGCTTTTTGTGCTGCTGCAGGGCATAAAGCCTCAAATGGTAGGGCAGGATCCTCCCCAACATGCTCCGTGATGTAAATACACACACACACAAAAAAAAGATTAAAGCTGCCTCAAGGAGTTTGCAATCGGAAATCATGAGGCACCGAGCAGCTGGATGCTGATCTCCCTAAGCCAGTGGATATTTCTTTTGTTAGTGGCTGATCCCATCTTCCCCCTTGCCTGCAAACCTCTAATCTGTGTAAAGAGTTCTATTAAGTACCTGCTCAGGTAGCTCCTGGTTCCGCTGGCCAAGAGCATCCAACCCTTGCAGGAATTGCTGCTTCCCATCTCATTTGTCATCCCAGGGTCACGCTTAATGTTGTTGCCACTGTCACTTTGTGGGTTTGGCCCACGTGAGGGGCAAATTAAGGCAGTATCAGTGGAGTGGCTATTTCACAGGGCTTCAGATGACCCTGGCACGCCTGGACACGCGCGTCGCACGCCAGCACGGTTTTGGCCGAGTGGGGACAGGGCAGGGCAGGTGGCTGTGCTCTGTCCCTCGTAGCCCAGAGGGTTGCTGCTTTAGTTTCAGATCATTTTTGGTAGCCTGCAGGCTAGACCTCTTTGCATATAAATAGCTAAATTTTTTTTTCCCCTTTTCATTATTTGACTAACCCTCTCTCCCTACATTTCATCTTTTTTTTTTTCACATTTACAACAGCTCAAAGCATCTCTTTTGTGTTCAATCCCCCTTAAACGCTGTTTTAAGGCGTGTGTTTACAACCAAGTGGCACTACAGAAAAGTAGGAGCCCAGAAATTAAAAAAAAAAAAAAAAAAAAAAA